CAGTAACTTTTTGCCTTTTTAAGCAGAATTTCATCTTTATGCCTGGGCTCTATTATACAAAGGCTGGTCTTCTTTCACCTGGTTGGCTGGGAAGTTTTCAGTGCCTACCGTGTTCCTGGTGCACTGTGCAGGTGCCTCATTTTCTAGACTCACATTCCCCATCCAGCAGATAGGCCAGAGGGGGAGGGAGGTGGCAAGGGTAGAGGGGAAATGCTGGTGGTAGTTCTTAGGATAAGGTGTCAGTACTTGATTGAAGTGGATTGGGATCAATGCAGAGGCTGAGAAGCAGGGAGACTAAGACCATACCAAAGGATTTGGGGTTTGTAGTTCTTTTACTGCAGAACCAATCACCTCAAAACTTAGTGACTTCAGACAACCACCATCTTATTGATTGCACAAGTCTTATGGGTCAGCAGTATGGCCACATGATGTCAATAGAGGACACTTGGTGGTAGTCATCTGATGGATTGATTGGTCTACAGAGTCCACAGTGACTTTAGTCATGTCTGGTACTTGGCAAATGACTGGAAGCCGGGGTAGCTGGGACTGCAGCTGGAGTGCCTATGTATATCTTTCCCCTATGGAACTCCCAGGTAGTCAGGCTTCTTATTAGGCAGCTCATGGCCCCAAGAAACCCAGGCAGAAGCCACAACACACCTGGTGTGAAAAGTTTTAAGACTATTAACTTCCTCTGCGTCTTGTTGATAAGCAAGTCACAAGTCATTGGGACTATCCCAGATTTAGGGAGCAGGGAATTGGACTCCAGTGGAGAAGTAATAAGGACTTTGTGGGCCTCTTAACCTAACACATGGTGTTTCTTGACAGGAGAACCAGTGGGAGACTTTCAGGAGGAGAGAGTGGAAGGGTGCTGGGTATGTGACACATGATCAAATGCACTTTTACATTTGGGGCAAAGATCAAATGATCGTGGGTTGAAGGATTCAGCACTTGCTGGAGTGGGAAGATGGGTGTGGACACTTCCTCAGGATTCTTGCTATGCAGAGAAGATGGGAATGAGAGTGGAGGTTCAAGGAGGGTTAGAGTTGGAGACGTTTGCTTGTTTTGCTTTGTTTGAACACGGGTGAGGTCCGCAGTGACCAATCTGTTCTGAAATATGTGCCTTTTCATTCTCATGACTGACCTCCGACCTGATTAAACACAGGGAATTCTGTCCTGTTGTGATTCAACTTTCACCTTGTCTTGGTTCCCCTGCCTGTGTCTAAGAAGGGTTGTTTTCTCTAGTGGTTGCATTTCCCAGGCATTGTCCCAGCCTTCCTTTCTTCCTTATTCTGCCCTTTTCTCTTGAACAGTCTCATTCATTTTCATGATTTCAACTGACTTCCCCCTGTCCCCCACCCCCACCCACTAGCCCTCCCGGTCTGTTGTTTGTCCAGGGCTGCAAACCTGCGTATCCAGTTGCCCCCTGCATGTCTTGTCTGAATATCCCTGGACAAAGTACCTGGCCAAAGCCTCTAGGATTTTCCCTTTTTCTGTCCATCCCTCTGTGTATCTGTAAGCCCCCACATACTTTTGATTTTGTGGGTTCTTAACTGTGGCCACACATAGGCATCATTTGTGGAGATTTACACGCATGCTGACCTGACACCCACCCAGCCTACTGAATCAGGATCTCATGGGATATGACCTTCCCTGGGTGAGTGGTGTTCACTTCCCATGGAAAACAACTCTAAATTTTTCTCTAATACTCTGGCCATTTCCACCATCATTGTTTTGGTTCAGGCTTTTATAGTTCCCTGTGGCTCCCATAACAAATTAGCACAAGCTTGGTAGCCTCAAACAACAGATGTTTCTCCTCTCACAGTTCTGGAGGCCGGAAGTGTGAAGTCAAGGTGCGGGCAGGGCCACCCTCCCTCCAAAGGCTCTAGGGGAGAATCCTTCCTTGCCTCTTCCAGCTTCTGGTGGCTCCAGGAGGTCTTGGCCCTCCATTTGCATACTCTGGGCCCCCTCTCCGTCTTCACCTGGTCATCTCCTTTCCATTCCTGTCTGCCTCTTACAAGACACTTACCATTTGATTTGGGGCCCACCAGAAATCCAGGATGATCTTATCTGGAGATCCTTTTCCTAGAAGGCCATATTCCCAGGTTCTGGGACATGGTCAAATCTTCTGGGAGGCCACCATTCCACCCACTACATACCTGTGGTTATGATGGCTCTCCCCACTGATCATCTTGCCTCTAATCTGGATATCTCCATCCTGCACTATGCCACCCTAATGATTATATATCCAATCATATTAGCTATTTGCTTAAATCTTTCCAGACTTCCCATTCCATTCCTCTTAGGGTAAGAAGCCATGCCCCTTATCCTGGAGTACTGGCTGTTATGATCTGCCCCTGTCTGCCTTTCCCCTCCTTTTCCTTTGCTTCCTCTCCTCTCGGACTTCCACTTTCACAGCTGTGAACTCCCTGCCATTTTTCTCTCCTTGTGCATGCTCCCCAGCCAGTCTTCTGGCTTAGATTCAAGATACTTCAAGCAGTGTCTTGCCATGTGCTCTGTGCTCCTAGTGTCTTTTGTCCCATGAGTTTTATCCCACTTGTTGTTTTGCTTTTTTTGCCATCCAAGCAGAGCGCTCTGTGAAGGTAGGGAAGCTGATATTCATCATTGTAGCTCAGTACTTGGCACTATAAATATTGAATGAATGGCCCTGTAGCTTAATCTAATTAATTAGAAACTCATCTCATCTTGACACTCGGTTTTGAACCACTACTTTAGCTATTTCCAATAGGAATTTTCACCTATCATCATCTAGATATGTTAAGTAAGTAGGCAGTCTTCAAGTAGACTGGTTTATTATTTGCTTAACCTATAGTATCCATGCATCTATGCACAGGCAATTTAAATTAAAATGATTTTTGCATTAAGATTGACACTTTTGACCCCACCCCACCCCCATGCACACTCTTTATGTTGGATATGGCTTTGAGGTTGTAAATAGCAGAACCTAACCTGACTTAGCTGAAGTTAAAAAGAATTTCATGAGCAAGGTTCAGTGTATCTGGACAAATAGGACCCTTACGTATCCTCTGCTTGCCTCTGTTCATCTGCTTCATTCTTCATTTTCTCTTCTTTCTGGCCACATAGGGATTATTGGTTCCCATAGCGCTTGTGTTTACATTTTATAGCTCTAGTTACCCAGAAAGACTGGTTAGTTGTTCCTTGCCCCAGTTTTGTATTTCCTAGGGTGAGGATATTATTGGCTAGTAGGGGGTCAGATGTTCACCTCCAGCTGGTCAGGGTCATATCATTCAAACCTGATGTTGGGCTCACCTTGGGGAGTTAGGTGTCGGACTCCCGAGAAGCAAGTGTTATTGTGAGTGGGTAGCCGCAAAGGGCCCGCTGCACTCCCCTGAGGCTGAGTCCCCTTAACCAGCAGTGCACAGTTAAGAGAAAGATGCAGGGGAGGCTGGGGAAAATTGAGGAGCTTAAGAACCTTTGCCAGATCTTGTAGTAATTGTCTCTAGGCCACAGTAGTGAAAAACATTCCTCCAAATTGTTTATCGTCTTGGCTTTAATTGGTTCACATATGTTTCCCTTAATATAGAACATTTGTCTTGAGCTAAGTAGTATGAAAATATCTTAAAACAAAGTGGGTTTATGATGGTGTTTACTTGTGGATATTTGATAGTAGTGGTCACAAATTCCTTTAGGAAAATAATGTACAGTTTCTGATCTTTCCTGAGAAAAAGGAGAGGAGTAAGAGGCATTTTTATATGGCTGGCATTCCTTTGTGATGGGAATGGAAACAGATTACAAGCACAGTGAGAGTAACTTCAGTGACACTGTAAAGCCATTGTGTGACTGCAGCTACTGACTCAGCTCTCAAAACCCACACACCCTAAACCTCTTTGTTCCAACTTCTGCAGTTCCCAGTGGCCTCACATCCCTGCTTCTCCACCCTGGGGACCATGTTCCTGTTTTGGGTGGAGCTGGAAAAGTAGAGGAGCCTAGGGGTCTGACTGAAGACTTTTAGTATGGGAACTAGGCTGTACCTGACTTTGGTGTTCTGAGGGAACTGTGGAGAGCACATTTACCTGTGTAAATTCTAAATGACTCCTTTCCCTTTTAGTTCTTTTCTTTTTCTTGGTGGTACTGGGGTGTGAACCCAAGGCCTTGTGCTTGCTAGGCAGGTGCTCTGCTACTTGAGCCATGCCCCCAGCCCCTTGTGCTTTTCTTGAAAGGAGCTTTTGCCAAGGTGCAGGGAGAGAACCGTCATATCTGTGTGGTAACATGGGACGGTGATCAAGACATTCAGGGACAGGCTAGTCTAGTGTTAGAATTTGCAGTTGAAAAGCCTGCATTTCTTTTAAACTTTGGTATTAGCTAAATACAAGAAATCTTAAGGACATTATGTGTTTTCTTGGTGACTTTTAAAGTTTTCTGACAGTCGTTGGACTATAAGTTTATGTATAATTTGTGCAAGATACGTATATTTTTTGCTAATGCAGCAGTGTAGGGTTCAAATGAAAATGAATATAAAGAATTCAAAACCTTTTAAAAACAAGCAACTAAATTTGGTATTCTTACAAATGAAGATCTTACAGACAGCATTCACATGATTTGAGAGTGAGAGATGAGGTTTAATTAGTGTGCTATTTTCTAACTAGTTCATTTAAAAATTTTCTCAAGTGTTTCTCTGGTGTCCATTAGGATGGTGCTAGCTGAATTGAGCCAGCGCTAATATGGCTGCTGCAGAATACTCATTTGCTTATTTATACTCTGGCTCCTTCAGAAAAGATTTGAAGAGTCTGACTTTATAGGCTAGGAAACCTATAATTACTTGTACATCACTTTTAAATTAAGTTTCTGGAAGTGATTTAAATTTTATTACAGCTGGAGTCTGTTTTGCAGCCCTTTCCCTTTGTGGGTGTTTAGTGGATACTTCTTTATGACCATTCCTGTCTTTTCCTTTATTCCATCTAACTTTCATGGTTAAAACTTTTAAAACCTGAACAAACGAGCTCTGTCATGTCTGCTTTTAGGTATAATGGTGCACTACCTAATGGAGACAGAGGACGGAGGAAAAGTAGATTTGCCCTCTTTAAGCGGCCCAAGGCTAACGGTGTAAAACCCAGCACAGTCCATGTGATCTCCACACCCCAGGCATCCAAGGTAAGTGGCTCTGGCCCAGTTGGGAAGTCTTGCCAGACGTGACTCACAGGTATTCCTCATCAGCTGCTCTTGTTCCCTGGGCTTGTTTTCATGCAGGGCAGTTTCTACACAGTGGAGCTTGGATAACTATTGGGAGGGGGAGTGCTGTGTCTTATAGGATGTTTAGCAGCACCATGGCCTCTCCCTGCTCTCCACTGTCCTTAACCTCTGAAAATGTCTCCAAATGTTGCAGAACATCTTTTGACAATGGGTAAAATCTGTCCTGTCGTGAACCACAGCTTTAGGATACAAAGCAACTAGTGCTTACCAAGTTTGAATAGTTGTGGTTGAAAGATACATGATGTTCTTCATCCTGAACAGGTTTTGTATTAAATCTTGGTGTAAACCTCATAAAAATTTGTTGTTTTTCTTCCGTTATTTGAATACAGTAGGTGTTTTCATGTAATTTACATGTACATAGAATCAAATTTGTGTGATTATTAGAAAGATGAGAAGCCAACAGAGCTAAGTGCTATAAGAAGTCCTATCTTTATGGGAATCAATTTGATATGAAATAAAAATGATAAATTAAAATAATTATTTCATTTCTTTTCTGTTACATGAGTAGGGGAAAAGCCTGAGTTCTCATTCTGGTTAATGATGTTTTACATATTGGAATTACGGTTTTCTTTCAATAAATAAATTCTTTAATGTGTTTTAAATTCTTTAGTTTTTCTATTCTATAAAATAGTTATACTTACTGTAATATTTCACATAGGCAGTACATTTTGTCATCATGGATTTGGACTATGTAGACTAAGTAAACCTTTGTTCCTGTTTTTACTGAACCTGGCATTCAGCAAAAATCACCTGTGGCCATTTTGATTTAAATACCCCTGTCATTTCTGAAGCAGTACCCTGGACAGATCTGTTCTAGCTGTCTCTACTCATGAGGGAACGTGTAGAAAAGACAGTATCAAGCACCATAGAGATGGAGAAGGAAAGATTAATATTTAGCAGACACGTTTTGACTAGAGAAAGAGAAACTAAAAATTTTAAGGGCATTTCATAAGGAAAACAAAGAAAATCCAGTTTTTCCAAAGATTCTGAGGAAAGAAGGCAAAATAATAACAAAATCTTGAAAGGTCAAGGAAAGATGAGAAACTTTTATAGTCCAAAAAAGTTTGGCAAAGAAGGAAACCAAGAGAAAAGCTTTTAAGCATGTGATAAGTGCCAAAAATGTTTTGTTTGATATAGAGGTGGTCCTTATAATTTTGCCTTCATTGATATTTTATCATTCCTTTTCTGCTTTCATATCTATACCTTCTTATGTTTACTTTTTAAAATCACGAGTTTTATATTAATAGAATGGTTGAGCCCTTGCTGTGATTGCACAGGTTTTATATGTGATGGAATGTAACAGTTAGCTGCTCTGAAAAGCTTAGCTGCTCTTCTTATGCTTCTCCTCCTTCACCTCTTTCCCCTTTTAGCCTTTGGTCTAAGGCTTCTGTGCCTAGGTTCTATTTTAAGTTATTCAGATGATGCATCTTTTTTGATAGTTGTCCGTCTTTAAACAAATTACTCACAGTACTAAAAGTAGAGCAAACTAGGTTTTGGTTTTGATCATCTTATCTTATAATCTGGGAAAAATAAAACTCTCAGGGCCTCAGGTTACTCACTTGTAAAGTGAGCAAATTGACTGTAGACAGAAGCCATGTTGAATCATATAATAAATGTTGGTTATATGCAACAGAAATTCTGGCTATAAAACGCAAAAATTGAGAAATGATTATAGGATCAAGTAGGAGTAGCTCTCAGAATTAGAAAAGTTGAACAACTGGGTTTTATGAGGGAAGAGAACCAGAGAATCAGCAGGAGTTAACATGGATATTCCTCCAATATAAAGTGACGACTCTAACCACCTTCTATGTCTTCTAAAGGTTTTGAATTTTCAGGAGAGAGAATCTGATAGACTGAGTCTGTGTCATCCAGACATGCCCAAGGAAGATGAGTAGACCTGGCTTATTTATTGTGAGCTGATCACCACGCAGGGCTGTCTTGATCTTAGCCATCTTTGTACTTCCGCCTTGAGGGGCCTTGTACCTAGCAAGATACAGTGACGAGGTACTGAACTACACCGCTTCTGTCCTCTGTGAACTTCCTACCTCAGTCACAAATCTTTCCCTCCTGGTTCCTCTTAATCTCACATCCCTGGCCAGCTTGGCCCTGCCACTCCTGCTGCTAGATTTGCTTTGTTGGCCCTTTCTACCTTGGGGCCTCATTCATTGTGACTGAATCTGATTTTATATCTATAATACATACATACATACATACATACATACATACGTGTATGTATACGTACACATATATGTGGTTGTGTTGGCTACTGAATCCAAAGGCCTTTTACACATGGCCAGGCACACCCTCTACCTCTGAGCTACATCCTCAGCCCTTCTGAATCTGTGCCCTTATTGCTGTCTTTTTGGTCTCTTTCAGTTCGTGGAACTAGAGGTGAACTCATTCTGCTGCTTCTGTTCCAGTCTCTTTCTTCTCTTTGACATTATTAACCTAAGTCACCTCTTCTCCAGCTTCTGATTTTATTGACCTATAGTTTACTTCTCCACATATTTCAGTGACTCAGTGCCTAGCCCCATCTTTTTCCCTGACCCCTGTAGCACCTATGGTTCACAGTACATGAACTCTTTGAATTGCAGAAAGTGCCACTTCTGTGCACTCTGCACCCTGTGGTTGCTTGGAGGAGTCCATCGCGTCCAGTTCGTTCTGCTTACGAGTATGTACCTTCTGACCTGTTTTCATCAGCGTCCAGCCTTTAGCCATGGCTGCTGGCCTACTTGGCTTTTATAGATGTGTGCTAACTCTACCCCAGATTCTCTTTCTCTGGTCTTTTTTGGGACCCTCTTTCTGAGTTCCTGGCTCTGAGTCCTGCCCAGACTCTGCTACACTTCTTCTTGTCCTCCTTTCATAGTTTGTCTGACTGAGACTTCTGAGTGTGCAGTGTTGGTAAAGTGAAAAGTACACCTCTGATTGCATTTGTAGAGTGAGATCTAAAAGGGTGGGTGTATTAGGGTTTGAGCACTGTGCCTTTTGGCTGTGTTGTTTTTGTCTAGGGGCAGAACAAGGGTATCCCTGTGCTGGTGGTAGTGGTGGCTGGGAAGCAGGGCCTTTAGTCTCTCATGCATGCCTGTGTCTAAGCTAAGGCAGATTAGGGTGACAAGGGTATGCTACTGTTGTATAATCTCTGTTTGCATAATCTTTATTTGTGTACATATTTGCTCTTGGAATAATACAGGTATTTCTCAGATTATGTAATATGCTTTAGAAAATCAAAAGTCCTGTTTCATCTCTGGCAGATCTGTTACAGAGGCATAGGGCCTCGTAATTTATTCACCCATTCATTTATCCAACAAATATTTATTCAGCACCTTCCCTAGCCAGGCATCATGCCAGGTATTGGATGGACTGCAGCGAACAAACACATCAGCATGGAGCTAATGGTCCAGTGAGTAGGCAAACAATTGAGTTCTGTGAATTCGGATGTAACTGCACATTGAGCAGAGTGCTGCAGGAAAGAGGGCAAAGGTGTGGACTGGGTAGACGGGGAGGGTCTAAGCAAGTGGCAGGTGAGCTGTGACTTGATAGGGAGACAGATTGGCCAGGAGCACAGAGAACTCAGGGCCTGGCTAGCGGATTTTTTCTAAGGGGAAACATTGGAAAATGTTAAGCTAGGGGTGTGTCATGAGATGACTGAGAGTCTGTCAGGTGATGTGTGGTCGTTTATTTTGTCATGATGAGGGGTGACCGTTACTGCTATTCTTCCAGTAAATGGTGTGATGGGTTTGTAGAAGTGGTGATGATGCTGGTGCCTGATAGAAGAATTTTTCTAACAGCATGTTAAATTTAGCAACATTACTCTGGAAAAATCTCATCATGGTTTCCTTTTTTAGATTATGCTGTATTGAAATCTCCTTTTTTGGGTATTTTTACTGTCAAAACTAGTTGGAAATCACTTTGTTCCAGTTAGCATGTTTTGGTATAGAAGTATCAGTGGTCTTTGAGTGACAGTTTACAGAATGCTTAGGGCTACTTAATGCAATTGTCACAATCAAGGCTGTGCCTTAGCCTGTGTTTTAGTTCTCTTTGTGTTGCTGTAACAAAGTAACTGAGGCTGAACACTTTATAAAGAGGCTTATTTGGTTGACTGTTCTGGTGGCTGGAAGGTCCAAACAGCATGGTTCTTGCGTTCTGGCTGTGTCACAAAATATAGTGGATAAGAAGAAAAGGAACTGACCAGTTTTACAACAACTGGCCAACCCTTCCATTTAAAATGGAATATCCAAGACTTTGAAGGTAGTGTAATCCCTTTTGTTGACTTCATAGTGCTGGAAGGGATAACATCTGAAATGTGTTAAACTTGATCGTTATACTCAAAAAGCTGTTTCACTGAGAAATAGTAACATGAATTTTCTACAGAATGGTGCAAGTGTAGTGCTGGGAGAAAAGTTGTCTCAGCTGAAATTCTTGAAAAACTTTTGGGTGCTTTTACTGGATACTGTCTCATGTATATATTGTTACCTCTGGGTGATTGAAAGATAAACCAAGTAAACCACTTAATATTTTTTCTTGAAAATTTTTGTTATCTCACATCAAATGAATGCCAGAGAATTAAAAAACATTTTTAAGAACTTGGAATTCCAATAATGAATTATTTGAACCTTGATGGGCATACTACTTATATAAATAATTTGGAAATTATATAAAGACTTGAATATTTTAGCAGAAATTGTGAAGTAGCAGTTGGAAAATTAAAATTTTTAGAGGTTTGGCTTTATTACATAGGTTTCTAACCAATGTCAAGAATGAAAATTTATGAGACTCTGACAGAGAAACCAGCCAAGCTTGCTGGACTTCTGAGGGGCAGAGCTATGAGGTAATTTATGTTGTTTCTGGCTGCTAAGTTTTGTGATAATTTGTTATTACAGCAGAAGGATAAAACTTACGCA